GGCGTAGGTTTGATTTCAACTTTAGTAGGGACACTTTTGGTCTGATGTCATTGGTCCTATGCAAAAATATGCATGCTCATTTTTCTTATGCCTGACGTGAATATCAGGTAGTATTTTGTTTAAAGAGAAAGCAACATTTCTTGCTACATTTGTAAAAATTTTATAAGCTCTACACACTAGATGCTGTTTATCAATGTTTGAAGCATCATCGGCTCTGATGAATGAGGAATTATGAATTTTTTTTCCACTTTGAAAAGGTTTGCATTTCAAATTACCAGCGACTAAAACACAATGTAAATCTGTGCCTATTTAACTAAATAAACTCTAAATATGTCTGTTATATGTGGATTTATCTTTTCTTTTGAAGATATACAATTGTGCAGAGTTAAAACCCATACTTATCTTTTAATTATTCTCTTTGTATCATGAAACAAAGCAAAATAATAGATTCAAGGGACACAAAATAAATGTATTGTATTTACATGAGCACTGGAACCGACCCTGAGAATTTAGAATATTCTTTTCACTCTAAAAGTCATCTAGGGCTGTAGACACTCTATTTAACCCATATCATGTATTTTATCTTGCTTTTAAACAATTCATCGGAATAATCGATTATTAACCCTTTAAGGTCAAGTGTATCATAGTTGATACAGGATATTTTGAAACCTCAGCATCATCAGTGTGATGTTTTTGTTCTTCAAACCCTGACTTACATAATCAGACACATGTGGTGAAGAGAAAACATATGAAAACAGAGAAATGCATAATATATCGAAATTGATGCAAATAAATTATGTAATTTAATGTTTTTAAAAATTTATATAGTTATTTCATTTGTCACAAAGATTAATGACAATTCTAATTTTGGAAAATTAGAATCTTCTGTCAATTATTTCCTGGTTCAGGCTTTAAAGGGTTAAAATGTCAACAAATTTAGGAATCGATTAATCATTAACTGGAGTATAGAGACTCTAAAACATGTCTAGCTCACAGAGAGACCCACTTTGAGCAGGAATTATACCATATAATTGTATAATTGTAAAAAAATATATATATATAAACAAAAATGTTTTCATCTGTCAATATATCCATCCCCTCTACTGCTGCAACAAAGCTGTATTGTAAATTATAAACATGTTATTCACATCTAATTGTTGGTAGGGACAAGTAGGTCGGTCCAAAATGTTGGTAGGGACATGTCCCTATGGTCCCTATGCAAACCTACGCCCATGTTGCTGTATTCTAGGTTTAGTTTGTGATATGCCAAGTAATAAACTGCATTTTACTAAATAATAACACATTAATTTATTGCTGTCAGTGAAATGACTGAATTACCTGGTAATAGCTGTTTGAAATTTAAGAAGTCTGACTTTACCTTGTCTGCTTGAAGCACAGCACTTATCAAAATTCTCCATAAACTCTCCATTTTTATTGTTACCTAGTAATAAAGTGTAACTTATGTTATTACCTTGTTATTACATGTTTATTGATGTACTGTAAAAGAAAGCGCTACCATTTCTTCAATATTTCTGGAGATGTAAGTTTAGAAGGTTAACCTTTAATGGGTCCAACCTCAGTTGGACCCTCTTGCTGAAGGAAAACACTGCGCCCAACTTTGCCATCATGAAGCCTACACCTGTATTATTCTAAAATTAATTTGTATTATTTAAATCAACCTTGATTTCCTTAAAAAAAAATATATATATATATATATACATTTAACAATTTAACATCTAAATCCAAACTTATTTTAAGCCTTTTTTCAAGGATCTAGAGGCATTTTTTAGAAACATAAGAACAATTTTGTTTTGTAAAATAAAAAAATAAAAAGATTTTATATTCAGACATTATATTCCAGTTTGTTTTCTCAGTTTGTTTTTTATTTACCATCCAGGTATAAAAGCTAATAGCAATAATTATCCTCCTAGAGCATAATTCATGTTCCGGACTTCATTGCAATATAGCTGATCCTAATGTCTAAATAGTGACAGAATATGTTACTAAATTAAACTGCTCAATAAGTTATGAAAAAAAAAATTTCAGCTGCGGGGAGAAAAAACTATGCCAATTTCACTCGTTTAGGAAGAACGTGGAACCAGCTGGTTCTGATTCTGATCCAGTTAAATCCCAGACATCAGTCCAGTTGGTTCAGTATTACAGAAATCACTGTGCTGGAGGGATATAGTAGAGTATAGTATAATAGATAAAAACATACAGTAGAAAATAATCTAGAGGAGGTCCTCAGGCTAAAGTTAGGCTGCAAGCAAGAAACGATCTTAATACTTGAAATGGAAAGTAGGGAGGGGATGAAAAGCAACAGCAGCCAACAGAGCAACTGAAAGAAGAAACTGAGCCTCATGTTTCCTAATAAACCTCCATCTGTGTTATTTAAGATTCACCTCGACCTCAAGGAAGCGTCTGTAGGACATCTGACTAAACTGTTGATGTTTCAGACACACATGGACTTTGAACAGACCTCACTTACATCTAAGGCAGAGGGTTAGGGATGTTGAACTCTAAATAAGCAGACATTACACTGCATTTTTTCATTTTTTCTTTCAATAAGTGCATTTTGTCTTGAATTGAGGAGGAAACTGAGACATTTTGCCAATGGAATGAGACAATTTACATTTAAAATAAGAAAAAACAACTGCATTGTCTTATTTCAAGTGCATATCATCTAATTATCTTATTTTAAGAGTGAAAATACTATTGACAAAATCTCATTTACCAACTCAAATTAAGGGTAAATGCACTTAATTTAAGATAATTTTACTTCTTTCTAGATGTTTTTCCAGTGTAAACTCTAAATCTTTCTGTAGGTTTATAATTTCTATAATCCAATCTTGTTTTTTTCGAGTACTTAGTCTTTCAATAGGCAGAAGGTAGATTCTCATTGATAATGGGCCTGAAAATCCTAATCAAACTGCTCTTGTTTCTTCATTAAAGTCCTCCCCTCGTCTGCGAGGCCCCTACAGTTCAACATGAATAACAGAAGAGAGTTTTTCTTCTCACCTTCAATAGGCCTGGGGACGAAATGTGAGCAGGGTTTAGTCTTCTTCACTCGGTTCCCCTTCATGATGATTCCTTCCTTGTTCAGACCCAGGAACCAGGCCCGGCCGGACTCATGCTGCCGGTACAGGGTGGATGAGTAGATGACGTAGTAGTTCTCGAACACAGACTCTTTAAACTTACATTCTGGTGTGAAAACATCCTGGAAAAAAGGAGACATAAAATTTTTTTTTTATATATACCTATAAAAAACATAATAGTGCATGAGCTCAAGACAAGTCACCCAAACATTGTCTGAGTAATCAGAACGGGCGACAGTGGAGTCAGATGTAGGAATTTGCCCTGCATCTGGAGGGTTGTCGGTTCAACCCTCAGCCCTAGATTTAAGTGTTGTTGTGTCCTTGGGCAAGACACTTCACCTGCATGGTGGTCAGATGCCCTGGTGGGGTCAGTGTACGACAGCCTCGCCTCAGTCAGTGAGCCCCAGGCCAGCTGTGGCTACAGTGAAGTTTGCCATCATCAGTGTGTGTGACTGAATGTAGTGTAAAGCGAAGCGCTTTGGTCGTCTCCTGACTTGAAAAAGCGCTATAAGTACAGGCCATTTACCACTAAACCTGTTATATCAGTTTAAAAAAGAAAACAGGATTTGGAACAAGTTATATTAATACTTAATTTGCACATTTTAATTCAATATGCAAATTAGGCTTAATTGTGCAACGAGGTCTGTGAGATACGGAGGTGGGATGTTGTTGATTTGAAAACAAAAAGTCAATCCCAAGTTTTTTCCAGTCAGGTCTTGAGTCAGGCTCGAAATAAAGACATGTAGTTCCCAAGTTCAAGATGGGTTCAAGATGACGCTCGTTACGCCGTCTCTTTTCTCTTACTTTCTCCTTTTCAGGCTGTTTTTTTCCCCTGTAACTATTGTAAGGGGTTTATTTGCAAGCGCTAACATGGGAAGCCACCTTTTTTGACTGTGCTGCTAAGCTTTCTTTTACTTTTGGCACACGGGGGGATCCGTTTGTCCGCAGCTCCAGACGTCCCATTTTCTACTCGCAGAGACCAGCTACTCAGACTTTGTGACCACACTGAGACCAGACATCTCTACAGACATACGGGGAGGCTGCAGGGGTGACGGGTTGAAGCGGAGGAATGCTTCTTTTGCATTCATTTCAATTCAGTTTATTTATATAGCGACAATTCACAACACGTCATCTCAAGGCACTTTACAGAGATTATTCAAACAGATCATACAGTCAAACTGATTCAAAGGACACCAGCTGATTGCATCGACCGATTGACTTGAAGGCAATTCCTCACACCAAGCATGCTTACAGTGACAGAGGAGAGGAAAACCTCCAGCAGAACCAGGCTCAGTGTGAGCGGCCATCTGCTGAGGCCAACTGGGGTTCAAGGAGACAGAAGCAGAGATACAGAAAGCAGCTGTAAACCAGCTCCACAGACGGCCCCGTCCAGGAAACACTCAGCCAGGCGGACGAGCTCTGAGCCAGCTCCAATGTCAGAGGATGAAGAGAGCACATCCAGTTAGTCACAGTAAGAGACACAGGACTACACTGAAAAACAGGCCCAGCTCCAACATCTAAAAAAAGGTGTTGATGGCAGAAACACAGCTGATATTTTCCATTGTGGGACAATAAAGAGATTTTCTATTCTATTCTATTCTATTCTATTCTATTCTATTCTATTCTATTCTATTCTATTCTATTCTATTCTCCAGGCTGGTGTCACAGCCAAACAGGAACAGACCAGATTAAGCTACTATGTGAAAAAGCAGAGAGAGCAGAACGTTAGAGATTGAACTAACAAATTATGCAGAATGGAAGAACATCTCTGGTCATGGGAAACGTAGGATCTCTCCCCAAAAATAATGAGGACCTCACAGCCCTAACCTATTTCCAGATAAAGTACAGGAAGGCTAGAATCAAGTGCTTCACTGAGACCCGGTTGGATGAACTTGGACTCCTGGACAGTTTTAAACTAATCTGTGTGGAAAGGACTTTGGCAGCCAAAGAAGAGAGGCGGGGGTTGGCATGTTTGTGAGAGAGAGATGGTGTAACACGACTTATGAAGGAGCAGACATGCTCCTCAGACATGGAGCTACAGTACTTGTGGTGGGCTTGAGGCCATACTATCTCCCACAGAAGTTTGTGGCCATGTGATCGTGCTCTCTGATTCACAGTGCAGTGATGTATCACTGACTGCATGACCTTCTGTGTAGAGAGCACTATGCCCACTCCGGGGTTTAATTTAGGTGAATTTTTGGGGAACCAATTGTTAAAAATGTGTGCTTTTAATGTCATTTTCCAATCAGTAATTACGCCACAAACTTATTCTTTTTAATAGGTTGTCATTCATTTTAATCCTATTTCCCATCTCTTTATTACTGTATTTCATACATTTTGTTTTGTGTAGATTCAATTAGGGCTGCAACTAATGATTTTTTTGCTTATCGATTAATCTGTTGATTATTTTTTTTACATTATTGGATTAATAATCGGATAGCAAGAGGTTCCTTAAAGAAGACTTTTTATAGATTTAAACCAGGGGAAACTAAAACGTTTCTACTTGAGGAGTTCTGGATAGAGGGTATTGACAGATGATAAAGTTTTTTTTCATCTTAAATAGAAAACATTTATATATTTTTTACTATTATGATATAATTACTGCTGTAAGTGGGTCGCTCTGTCAGCTAGAGGCATTAGAGTCTCTATACTACAGTTAACGATTAATCGATTACTAAATCAATTGACGATTATTTCAATAATCGATTAAACACGATTTATCCAGTTAATTGTTTCAGTTCTATATTCAATAATAATTTATTCACATCAAAGCAGTTCAGCCAAATAGTTCTCCCTCTACCAGCATCACCAACTCAACATAATTTTACCCAGAAGAATAAATGGTGTTGTCATCTGCAAATAAAATGAAATTTTAAATCTCTATAATTTCTGTATAGCTAAGGATTCAGAACAGAACCTTGCAGAACCCCACATTTAATACTCTACAAACATGATCTAACTCAGTTTAGATCAACATTATGAAACATTTCCATTAAAACATTTTCCACCCAGATAATATACAGTAAAAACCACATTTTTCTAGTTTTTGTCATAGAATCAAGTGATTCATAGGATCAAATGCTTTCTGTATGTATACATATATATATATA